TTCTACATCTATACAAATAAATGACTAAACCATGTCTGGAGCATTGTCTAAAGTTCTGAACATAGCACATTGGAAAGAATATTTTGACATTAAAAGGATGGATCCACTAGAATATACAAAAGCTAGAATATCTACAATAGCTACAATATTTATATGGCTGGTCTACTTCAATTTCTGGTCAATGGTAACTGCTTCCCCCTCAAACCCTCTCCAGTCCCCACATCACCAGGAGGAGTTTTGAAATTGCTGATAGCACTGGTGATGTCATTAAATATCAAGGAGACATGGTCAGGTTCTCTTTTGTTGGAGATGGTCAGTGCTGACACTTATCTGATGCAAATGTTACTCGCCACTTGTCAGTCCAAATGCAGACATTGCCCAGATCTTGCCGTATGTGGACATGGAGTCCTTCAGTATCTGATGAGTCATCAATGTTGCTGAACATTGTGCAATCAACAGTGAATATCCTCACTCCTAAAAGTATAATGGAGAGAGATCTTTGATGAATTAGCTAAAAATGGTTGGGCCAAGAACATTAACCTGAAGACTTCCTGCTGGGATGATAAACTGTCAACAACCACAATCATCTTCCTTTGTGCCAGGTTTGACTCCAACGAACAAAGACTTATCCCCCTGATTCCCATTGACATCAGTTTTGCTTGAGCTCCTTAATGCCATTCCATTTTGATTGTTATCACAAAGTCAAGGGCAGTCATTCTCATATCACGTCTGGAGATTTGCTATTTGTTTAAAATTTGCACCAAGGTCTTAATGAGTTCATGAGCTCAGTGTCCCCGGTAGAATCCAGAACGAGCAAGTTATTCCTTTTCAAAATCTGCTTGACAGTAATGTTAACCTTCCACATATCAGTTTGCTGATGATCAAAAGTAGACTGGTGAGGCAATAATTGGCCAAATAGATGTGTCTTGTTTCTTGTGTTCAGGACATTTCTGGGCAAATTATCATATTGTTGTTCAGATACTAGCCTTGCAGATTTACTGGCATAGTTTGGTGAGATGCGTGGTTACTTGAGGGAACACAAGCCTTCAATACCAAAATGTTGTCAGGAGTAATAGCCTTTCCATAATCCAATGCTTTCAAATATTTTTTCATATCACCTGGATTGAATTGACATAAGGGGTATGGGGAAAAGGACATGAAAGGAGAAGATCAGCAATGATGCCAATCAGAGAATGGCACAGGGATGGCAGAAACAGGATGGTGCAGGGACAGCAGTAACAGGATGGTGCAGGGACAGCAGTAACAGGATGGTGCAG